AAAATATAAGAGACATTAATGTAACCTGTTTATCGAAACACAAAAATAAAAAATAGGCATAGGATGCGGCAAATATCAAAATATATGGACAAGCTAACCATTAGCCCCAATTGTGGTGAATCAAATAATCACACCAGTACATCACACGTTGTAGTGATACACAAAATGAAACAAAACGCTAAAATACAATTATCCAACTTGGGTGAAGCAAATGATCACACCATACATAGTAAATTCAAACTGCTAATGAGATATCTTATATGGACAAAAAAAAAATATCTCCCAAATGTCAGATCCAATTCTTTACAATGATTCTGCAGGCACAAGGCTTTTGGCTGCCGCAAGAAGAGCCACAGCACAAGAATTTCCTATACACTGCCTTTAATTTACTTTTTGATGCCAAAGAGTTTAATGTCACTAACACCTTTGCACAATCCCTTTATTGCAGATGCCTCCTCCTGCCAACCAGCCTTTGAGAAGTTTTCGAATTCTGTTTGCCAGCAACCTTTCTGAGATCATTGTTTGGTACCATGCCTTCCCAGCAGCCTTTATTGCAGATGCCTCCTCTTGCCAACCAGCCTTTGAGAAGTTTTCGAATTCTGTTTGCCAGCAACCTTTCTGAGATCATTGTTTGGTACCATGCCTTCCCAGCAGCCTTTATTGCAGATGCCTCCTCTTGCCAACCAGCCTTTGAGAAGTTTCCTCTCATTGTTTGCCAGGAACCTGCAAAATTATCCGGCACACACCTGCAGACATGTCAACTTTTGTAAGTAAAAAAAAACACGTCAAAAGTTACAGAGTGGGTAGGTGAGAAGTTCACTCAATCCGTGTCTTTCGATAAAGCTCCATATAAGTATGACACCTGCAACATCAGCACCACAACCCAAGTATCACCATTAACATTACATAAACTACAAAATTCAAAGTCCAACTTTCATACCTTTTTATTGGGTTCTGCTCACTGAAAACGGATCCATCTGCCCATGGAAGCAGTCGACAGCCCAGCCCTCCTAACAGTCTCTCATTGTTTCATCATTCAAGCCATCCATCGAGGTGTTGGTCATGTCGAACTCAATAAATTTCAGGTTATATGCCCCACATTCAGCACTACAATAGGACGAAGATATTAGCATTAGAATAAACTTATAGAACAATTGTATTATATAAGTTAGTTTTATACAAAAATTACCTTGACTCATTTATTGGGCTGGTAGAGCGCTTAATTGGCCACTTTCCGGTTAGTACTTGATCACCCAAGTGCCTAAACATCCCGCTGTCACGTAACAACCGCGGGAACAACCTGGACAGTGGCTCCAACTCGACCTCCAACTACTTGTCTCGACAAATAGTGGGGTTGCAGTCAAGGATCTTCAGCAACCCCTCCTCTAGATGTGCAACGACTGCTATCCAGTACATCTGTTTGACGAGGATGATGCAATACACTCTTTTAACAAAGGCCCAACCGTGGCCATATTTGGGCCGATGCCCCGTATATACTACATAATTTTGTCATCAAAATGAAAATCATCAGGGATGCAGTCCAATTATACTGGGGCCAATCTTTTTCACTTTGGTCCTTTTGCTACACCACTAGCAATGACATTTTTAATTAAAGTGCGATATGCCGAAACAAGCGTTTGGCCAAACACCACATCGGTGATGGCACAGTCGGGATACAACAGATCACCATCAATAGTCTGTCGTAGCCTTATCAGTGTCAATATCTCATCGATGTGCTACATCAAATAAAAACAACAAGATAAGTATGAAAAACATAGGCAAAAATAAGGAAAGTTAAGCGAAAATAACTCACCGAGTCCTCAAGCCATGTGCCCGTCGTCAACAACTTCTAAAACCATTCCCAGGGATAATCCCCTGTCTTACACTTTATATGGTCATTACTTCCTGATCCATTGTAATAGGCATGGAAGAGTTTTTCTTTTCCTCTATTGACCTATACAAATCGACATTTGAGTCCAATTTCCCTTGCCCATTTCCTCCCCCTTCCTCCATTTTTACATCCCCGCTTCCTTCGCCTCCCACCTCGCCCTCCTCCATTATCACCGCCCCCCTTCCTCTACCAACGTTCTTCACCTCCTCCATTTCTGGTTCTTCCTCCATTTGTTTCTTAATTTTCTTCTTCTTTACCTGTGTCACTACCATGTAAGGCTATTTCACAAACTTGCTTTTTCAGCTCTCTCTTTTCAAGCCAGTTTGCACTTCAGCCGCCTTTAATTCTCCGCTAACTTCCTCCTCCATTGTACCAACTTCCTCCTCCATTGTACTAACTTCCTCCTCCATTGTACCAACTTCCTCCTCCACTGTACCAACTTTCTCTCACAACTTATCCACTTTCTCCTCTACCATTTTCATGCACTGTTCCGTCTTGTCAAACCTTGCATAAACGGTTGTTGTAAAACTCTCAAATAGGCTGTTTATGAGGTCAACAACCTCATACTCCCGATGCCGATGTCTCGGCACAGCGGTACTTGTTGTACCGGTTTGCTGAGGCATACGAACCTCTTCCTCCCTCTTCTCCTCCTCATCCTCGGGCCTCCCGCCTATTGGAGTTTCATAATCCTCGGCATCAACGACGTTGTCAAGCAATGGCCCTGCAACTGCCGTCACATGCGTGACCCCTCTTCGGTCCAGCATCAGGCGGTCTATCCGTTCATCCCTTTCATCCTCCACTACTTTGAAAGATGTGACATAGTCCTCTTCCGCTTCATCCCCAGTAGCGGTGAGAAAATGATGGACGACTCCCTGCAATAAGAAACAAAATCAATCAGATTGAAGCGACATTTTAAAGCAACTGCATATGCAAAAGCTTAATCCTTTAATCTTACCCCAGCCGCTTCAATGTCAATCTCTATTTGGTCGTAATCCGAATGGTTACACCCCCCGATATGCCACTGCAACATCCTAGGAAATTACTATTGCACATCCAAACTGTTGCTCCTCCCCCCCGCCTTAGAGAAGACAGGGATGACCTCGTACATCCAAGCCTACATTGTAAAAAGACAGTCCATATCATAATTCAAACACGTATATTATAAAAAAATATAACATAAAGCTATTAATATTTACCTGTATTGCCCATTGGAAGCCAAACAAATTATACTTGCTTGGTTTATCCTTCCCGACCCATTGGGCATGCTTTAACGCCATGTCTAGTTTTCTCAGGCTGTTGATGGTTCACTCAAATGATATCCGTCCCCACGGATAAGAATTAAAGAACTCCAAGTCGCTTGCAAACAACAACCAATCTTTCTCAACAGCTTTTGTTGAGTCACCAGCCAATAAGATAGAATGTAAAAATAATAGCAAGCACACTTTTATCTTCTCTCCATCATTAAACCGAACTGTTTCTAGCCTCTCCTCTAAAACGTGTCCTGTAATAGACTTTGCCCCCTGCAAAACCTTCTTACGAAACCTTATGGCTCCCGGACTCCTCCTTATTGTGTCTGCCTCAAGCTTATTTGGCACTTCCCCGCATCCTATGCCCGTCACCAAGGCATACTCTATCATCCCAAACCATAGTGGCTTTCTGTCCACCACGAACCACATTTCATTTTTTTTGTTGCATTTTACTGAGTGCAGCAACATGTAATGCACTCCTTACCCCCAAAATGCCTTTTTCCAATTTGTTCCGATTCTTAAAAACTGACCGAAACAAGTGCGACGGAAATCTCTTTCACAATTCCTCATTCCAGCTAAAATGTCCCTTATTCTATTAAAAACATCCCAACTCGACCTCACCGTTACCCTTGCAGGGAAGTAGGGTACCTTCTTACTTATAGGCTCCAACTCGTAGTCTCTACAATTTACGATCTGCACAATCGATATAAACAAAATATCAGTAACAAAAATAAACCAAAACTACTAATAAACAAAATATCAACAACAAAAAATTACCACTGTAGTCGCTTAAGCGATTTCGGATCGCTTAAGAGATCTTGACTCTGCCTCGTGCAAGATCGCTTAAGCGATCTGAAATCGCTTAAGCGACCAAGAGTAAATTGAAAGAATCTCTTAAGTGATACAAAAGATCGCTTATTATATATGTGATTCTGCCTCGACAAGATCGCTTAAGCGATCTGAAATCGCTTAAGCGACCAAGAGTAAACTGAATCAATCGCTTTAAGCGATACAAAGCGATCCTTTGTATCGCTTAAGCGATCATGAGTGCGATCATGAGTAAAACAGATTAATCGCTTAAGAGATACAAATGATCGCTTAAGCGATACAAATGATCGCTTAAGTGATAGTGCAAGCAATATTCCCAAAACAACGTACCCTTTCTTTGTCGGCCTCCTCCTCGTCACCTGAATCCTCCGACGACTCCTCTTGGCCTAAATTCTCGCCTAACTCCTCGTCTTCAGAACCGTTTGCCGATTCGTCCCTCTGTTCTTGTGCCGTTGGCGTCTCCTCTGCGTGTGAACCACCTTCACTGATCGGATGATCCACCGGAGCAGCCATTGAACTGCTTGCGCCACTGGAATCTAGGATTCGAAGTGGCGTTGGGTTTTCCTCCTCATTATGAGTGTTAGCCATGGTTTTGGATTGAATTTGGTGTCAAAGCTTGTAGTTTCGATCGGAAATGTGGACTGTATCGCCGGAAATCGCACAGATTCCGTTTAGGGTTAAGGAAATCGATTTTAGGGTTCAACAAATCGATCGGAAATCGTGACTATATCGTCGAAAATCGCGACTGTATTCGGTTTAGGGTTCAAGAAATTGATTTTAGGGTGTAAATTTGCAGGTTCGATCGAAAAAAATCGCAGTCTCCCTTTGGTTCAAGGTATCGCTTTTTGCCCTAATAAATTTCGATTAAGCGAGGTAAATAGGTGGGGCTTGTTTTGAAAAATTTCAAATTTTAAAAACTTTCATTATTTATGATTAGCCTATATATGTTTTAATCTTTTCATTTTAACCCATTTTACGTGTTTAATTAATCCTAACTATGCCACGTCATCTTCTTCGAATTAAAAAAAAATGAAATCGAAACTTGGGATGACGGGCAGCTAAATTTTCTCTCAATTTTCTCGTAAGTATTTGTTTTCTCATTCATGTTAAATCGATTTCAATTTCCACTCCTCCACAAAATTTTATCTCTCTGATGTCTGTGTAATTTATGTAGGTGGTCAAGGAAAAAATTATTGAGGGAATGAAGGGTTTGCAAGATTTAGTAGTATGCTACAAGGACAACTTGATCCCAGAAAGTGCTGGAATGGTTAATGAAATCATGGCCTATCTTCAATCTCTTCAACGACAAGCACAGGTATCATTAATACTAACATGTTTATTCGTCTTCAGGTTCTTTTATTAATCTTGGTTTACCGTCTATAAGGTTCTTCCTCTTTAATTAACTTTTCTGATCTTCTGATCATCACACTAACATGTTTATCTAGAGTTTCCGGTTGTCGGAATGGGCCGCCGGCCGCTGGAATTTGATGGCCAGAAAAGTTTTAGCAAGTCTAGGTAACGATATAGCATCATAATGATCGTTTCGGAAAAATCTATCTAGTCTTATATTTTTTAAAGCAATCGATGCTGCGTTTTGCCGGGATCTGACTGGGAAAGTTTCGAGCGAAACTTTTTGAGTCAGATCTCGGCTAAACGCCACATGTATGACCGTTGAAAGTTACATGGATATATAGAATTATTAGAAATAATCATTTTGGAACAAGAATTGTTATAAAAAATTACCTCATAACTTTCCGATCACTGGATTCCTCGGGTCGGATTCTGACATCCAATTGCTGGATTTCTTTCTTTTTTTCTTTTTGCATGTTAGTATCATCCAAATGACATATTTTCTTATTTTCTTGTTACCATTAAAATTATGAAGGAGATTGAATCTTTCATACAACAGAGAGAAGCACCTCTATCTTCCAATATCAGTGGAGCAGATCTGCACCATGAACAGGTACCCTTTCTCTCTCTACATATATATAGAAAAGAGATTAAAGTCGGTGATCGGAGAAGCAGTTTCCATCTTATGCAATTAAATATTTTGTTTATTTTTAGCTGTTAGTTATGCTAAAGTTTAGCAGGATAGAGATGAAATTTCCTTATTATTGCTGATAGATATCTTAAGAACATAATTTTTCTCTATTATAACACAATCATGTACGATAGTCCTATTTATAAGCCTCAATTTAAATATTTATTCAGAATTCCTTTGAATCCTTGACCAATGTAATCTCTTTCATTGAGCTCAATTAAATTTGCCTTTTATCGCTTATAACAGGACATCACTCAAATAAGAGAACAAAATACCAATTTGGGACCTACTCTGAATCAAGAGATTGAAGTGTTGATGAAACTAAATATAGAGAACACAGCAAGTGCTAAAGAAGAAAGTTGACATCAGTTGTTTGGGAGCACTTCATAAAGTATGTAGGAAGTAATGGGAGGGAATTGGCTAGATGTAAATACTGTGAGAAAGACTTTATAGGTTCAAGTAAGAGTGGAACCACACATCTCAAAAATCATTTAAGAAGTTGCTCGAGTTCAAAGAATCCAGGTGTAGGTGCAGAAAAAGCAGAAGAGAAAAGTATGATTGATCCAAAATTGAATGTCTCTGATTTGGTGCAAAAGATTATTAAGTATGGGCTAAACAACATAAAGAATGATATACTTGATGTTTACCAACAAGAGAAGGAAAAGCTCCATAAATACTTTGATAAAATGTCATGTCGTTTTAGTGTAACAGCGGATAGGTGTCCAGACAGCAGGGGTGAAGTTCTTTTTATTGCAGTCTGATTTATTGATGACAATTGGAAATTGAAGAATAGGGTTATTGTTTTGGAGAAGGAAGAAGTTTTAGAGTCTTCCACTGAAAAATTTCTGAAGCATTCTCTTCAAGATTGGGACATAGATAAAAATATATGTGCTAAACTTGGTGCTGAAAACAGTGATGAATTTAACGAGTGGCTTACTGAAAGAGCTTCACTTCATTTCATTGGCAACGTATTTCCAGTTTTTCAGTTTTTAGATGAACTTGAATCTTACATGGGATATGCTGGGATGAGAACAGAATGGAACAGAGATATTTTAGATAAAGCGTCGAAGATTCTGAAGTGCGCCAGGATGTTATCAAATGAAAATAAACTTCAATATGCGGTGGAAAAAGCTGTGTCCATGGGCAAAACTGTAACTGATCGAAGTGTTCCTACACTTTTGGTTAACTTCGAACTGCTTGAGTGTAACTTTGAACTGCTTGAGTGGGTAATGGAATATAAAGAAGCATTTTGTGAACTGGAGCAGATAGATCCTGCTTTCAAGTCTATAAATTTTATTGAAGAGGATTGGGATAAGGCAACTGCACTTTATAACTGTTGGAAAGGCATAAAAGATGCTGCTAGTAGCTTGTCTGACTGCAAATATAATACTGCGAATGTGTATTTTCCCATCGTTTGTGACATATTTTTTAAATTGTGTCAGTGGGAAAAAAGTGACAATCGTTATGTTGTTAAGATAGCATTAGGTTTGAAAAGTTGTTTTGATGAATATTGGAGTAATTCTAACTTGTTTTTAGTAATTACGGAAATTCTTGATCCACGGTTCAAAATGGACGTTGTAGAGCTTTGGTACAAAATGATTTACGGTTACGATGCAGAAGCCCAGTTTAAGAAAATCCGTCATGTTGTAACTGATATTTTTAATGAATATGCAAAGGGGTCTAACAGTTTCAAATCATCATCTATTGCGGACCATGGTGTTAGGAATTCTTCAACTCCATTCAAAATGCTAGACAGCATGGGGAGGCCATGTAAATCTTCAGAACGTATTAATGATGTTACTTTACCAACCTCAGAACTTGAACGCTATTTGGAAGATTCAAAATTCCCTGCAGTTACAGATTTTGACTTACTAGCTTGGTGGCATGTCAACTCCCCAGCTTATCCGACACTTGCAAGGATGGTGCGGGATTTCTTTGCAATACCTGTTTCTGCTCCGGTTGAATATTTAGATTCTTCCTTAGCAACTGAGACTGGAAATATTTTTTATTTTAGCAACCTATATTATGACTTAAGAGGAGCTTTGGCTTGTACAAAGATTTGGTTGCACTATACTTCTGAAAATTAATAATAAAGTTACTGAAACAACAGTGAAAGTTCTCCTTTCTCTTTTTACTTAAATTTTTTATTTAAGCAGAGAAGATGTCCCAATTAAGGACGAGTAATGCTAGTCTTACAAACACAAATACAAAGAGTTGTGTACAAAGTGAGATGGCAGCTGACGTGGCAATGTCACAGCAGCTGCCATGTCACCAATTGCCACATCACTTTTGAATAATTATTTCTTTAATCCTAATTTTCTATTTCTCCTTCTCCATTTCTTTATTTACTTTATTATTTCATATTTCAATTTCTTTGTCTTCTTCTCCATCGCTCTTCTCCTTTCTCTTTTTACTTAAAATTTCGTATTTAGAGTAATGCTAGTATTTATTTAATGGGAAAAAGGCTGAGCTCTTATACTGAGCCAGTAACATTGCTGGTTTATACTGAAGTACCAAGAGCATGGTAAAGAAACCAACTTTCCCGCGAAAAAACCAGCACGGACCCCAACCTTAATTCTCATTAACCCTATAACTTTATCTTCCATTTCTCAGTAACTTCTCCAACTTAAGCAAATAAGCTTTGACAGGTATTCTCTGTTCTCCAATCATTATACTTTTATGTCTATGTTCTTTCATAATTTCTGTTTTTCTGGGTGGTTGTGTTTGAATTCAAAGCTGGGGGTGCTATTGTTTTGATTAGACAAATATTTGTGCTTTCTCGAGATTTTTTTAAAGGGTTTGGTATTCACTGTAATAATGAAATAGAAATAAAAATTTTTAAGATTTAGATTTTTACTGATATAATTTGTCTCGCATTTTCTTCAATTTATAGATTTTACTTTTGTTGGATTGTTCTTTATTCTGTTTTTTATTTGAGCTGCGGGGCATGACTTTGTGGCTTTAAAGATTAACAAATGTAATATTATTATCTAGTAATTATGAATTTCTTTGTAGGAATTTATAGTTGGGTTTCAAAGACTGAAATTGTTTGTTGTTGTCTAAGCTTGGGGCAAAATTTTTATCCAGCATAACCAACAGTAGACCTTGAAAATGCTTAACCCAAGTAATGATGACGAGGCGTGGACAGGTACCCTTCCCTTCTTCTATCACTTACTTTTGAAGGCTTTATATGAATTATGATGTATGTTAGGCCAATCAAATAGATAATCTTCTACTTAACTAAGAAAGTTTTAATACATGTCATGAGGTAACATAATCATTTTAAATAGACTTTCTTCTAACATTATAGCTCAAATAAGTTTAGAATGATAGGCTCATCAGCTTGTAAATACATCCTAAATTTTAATAATAAAGGCCAACTTGAGAGAATTGTGGTGTAACTGCCAACATCTTGCACCTCAATTTTTCATTTCAGGGTCTTCAATTCAATCTAATTAAGTTCGAGTTTGCAAACAAAGATAGCCGATGAAGTTGTAATAGATAGCCTTGATCTGAATCAGTTAATTTCAAGGTTCAAGTGTATAAATTCTTGTGTAATTAACTTAACAAGGCGATGGAGTTGCTTCTTGTTTCCGATTGACAGTCTAATATTCAGGCACTTATCTACTAGGACTGTTTCCTTATGGATGTCTTAGTTCAAGCCCCTCGTAAATTTTCACAACCTAAGACAAATTATAGAAATGTCCAGATAATAAGTTAGTGCAAAGTGGAACTGATAGGAACCCACTCTAATAACTCAACAATTTGGACTGGGCCATGGGTCTTTCATGGGCTTGGGTAGAACTCTCCTTGGAAAACCGGCTTGACAAGGGAGGGTGCCCAAACCTTTATAACCCACATGCCCACCCTTTTTCCTTTCAATGTGGGATCCCAACATTCCTTTTTCCTTTCAATGTGGGATCCCAACATTCCACCACGCTTCCGCAACCGACGTCCACGTCGGCCTCTTTACCCCCGTCGGCCTCTTTGCCCCTTGGGTGACTACGCGGATCCCCTTTTCCCTCGGGCCTCCATGCCCTTTCTCGGGGTAGCAGCCCGGGCCCAAGGTCAGCCTGCCACGGGTCAGCCTGCCACGCGTGCGCTGCCACATAGGCGCAGGATCATGCTCTGATACCAATTGATAGGAACCCACTCTAATAACTCAACAATTTGGACTGGGCCATGGGTCTTTCATGGGCTTGGGTAGAACTCTCCTTGGAAAACCGGCTTGCCAAGGGAGGGTGCCCAAACCTTTATAACCCACATGCCCACCCTTTTTCCTTTCAATGTGGGATCCCAACAGGAACATTCCTTCTTGTCTTTGATAATTGATTAGGAAGGGTTGGGATGTCTTTTATCAACTAGAAAAAGAAAAAGAAAAAAATAAAAATAAATAACTAATTGAGAAAAAGAGTCATTTGATGGACAGGAAAGAAGCCTGTGTCTATGATTCATCACCTTTGGGTCATATCTGGAGTCCCACAACTAGGAATAATCACAAGTTAATCTGGATCTTATATTATGTTATGTCTATAAAAAATTGTTAAGTGAATCTCCTGAACTTTTGGGTTCAATGAGATCCTAATTTCTACATGCTTGTTATATAATTAAGTTTTATCTTGCTCTCTTTAACATTTTCACAATCCATTGCTTTTAAAATTAGATTGCTTCTATGCACTTGTTTATTACTTCTTTGCATCTTCGTGATAGGGAATCGGTCAATTTAGAAACCAAAATACTGGTTCTCAACCTACTCAAAATGATGATAATAATAAGGTGAACCAAGATGCAGAAACCTTAGCTCTTTCACATGCTAAACAAAGAAAGTTGGAATAAAAAAGATAAACAAAAAAATGGAAGGGGATGGAGAGTTTGTAATCGTTGTGAGGAGATATTACTATATTCAAACAAGAATAAAGCCAGAGTCCTTGAAAATCATTTTGCAAGGTGCAGAACTATGAAAAACAGAGATGAAGAGGGAGACAAACCAACTGAATCATATGATTCGACTGCTTGAGTTGTTATGAAAAAAAGATCTGTGGTGGATAAGGAACTGAAGCACTTAGATGTGGCACAAACAATTGTCGTGCATGGTGTTGCATCACTTTTAAACTCAAAAAAGGATGACATACTCAATGTTTATACTGAAGAGAAGGAAAAGCTTTGTGGATATTTCATGAATCTCTCTTGTTGTTTTACTTTAACAATTGATTGTTTGTTTTGATCTTCTCAGGATCTTATGTATTGTTGCTTGACACTCCAGTTTATTGATGATAATTGGGAACTGAAGAAGGTTATTGGTTTCAAATTTGTACACCGTCATAGTTCTGTGTCATAAATTATTGAATGGGTGCTTTTAGATTGGGACATCAACTGGTATCCCCCCGTAATTGCTGGAAAAGTAACTGTTGTTGAAGATGGTACGATAAAAGGCTCAACTACTCGTCGATGTAGAATTTCTCGTTATGAGCATTTAAATATTTGTAGTTTAGCAGCTAAACTTAATGAGATTGTTTGTGTTGGAACAATACTTGCAATTAAGATGTGTTAGAATTTAAGGAGTGCTTTTTTTTTTTCCTTTTTTTTTTTTTTTTATATATATCCAGGAGACATCATCAAATGAAAATAAGTTTCAAATTGCAGTAGATAAAGCCAAGTCCCTGGGAAAGAAAGTGACTTCTCAAAGTGTTCCTGGATTTTTGATTTCTGACCTTGAACGGATTAAAAGTGCAGTTGGGTTTAGAGAAGGAGCTAGGGAAGATGGATCCTCATTTCAAGTCCTTAAATTTGAACAAGAAGGAATGGGATTGGGTAATTTTCAAGAGTGCTGGGAAGTTTCAAATGATGTTGCTTCTATATTGCATGGGAACAATTTCACTGCAAATGTGTATTTTCCCAAGTTACGTAACATACTCAATAATTTGTATCAAGTGGAAGGAAGATGTTATTGGCATGTTAACCAAATGGTACAATGTATAAGGGATTCTTTCACTCAACAATGGATCGATCATATTTGGATTCAAGGATTGCCATAGTTTTTGACCCGCTGGTCAAAATGGATATAGTGAAATACTGGTACAAGGACATATATGGTAAAGAATTTGCAGAACTATTTATTTTCACAATTGAAGAAAAACTTCGGTGCAAATTCGATTGTTATGAATGTGACTATTTGGAAATGCTAGACCAAATGGAGAGGTTGCAGACATCTTCAGATGGTGATGAACTTTTGCGATATTTAAAGGAACCTAAAGTTCCTTCTATTGAAGATTTCAACATATTAGCTTGGTCGCATGTAAACGCTCCAAAAATGGCTCATGATTTCTTGCCGGTAACTTATTCAACTGTCATTTCAGATTCTGACTTGTGGACTGAAATTCAAAATGTAATTGGCCCTAAGGAACTGGATTATGATATGATGGAGGCTCTTGTATGCACAAGGAGCTGGTCAAGCTCTTTAAGTAAATGATGATTCTCATTTCTTCTATGCATTTCTTTTCAAATGCTAGATACTTCATATACAATATAAGCATTTTTTCACTTCTTTATGTAGATATATTTACAAAAACTTACTTAACTGATCAACTTTTGGGGTGCGTAAATATTAATATATAATTAGTTTAGTCAATGTTTTAACATGAAATCCAGATATTTGTTTATTTAGCGCAATTTAGTTATTTATCCGGTTGAATCAGATTTTGATATATTTGTAATTGTTGCAGAAAAAAGGGGCACCATTTCAGTTTTGGTTTGTTGCTGTAGTGAGTGGAAAACAATGGCTGGTAATAGGAGGTTATATCATGGGGGGTTTGCAACTTGTTTTAAGTATAAAGAAGATCATTACGCATACCCAGTTGGTTGCTGAAATTCATAGGACATTAGGGTTGGATCAACCTCAATTCAGGTTCGAGTTGGCTTGCCTTTACAAAACTCATCAACCAACTCAAGGAGTGCCGATTTCTGATGATAATGAAGTGAAAATTTTTTGTGGACTACTATGAAAGACATCCAGATGAGATTTTATCAATTGCTGTAATGATTACTCCAATTCAATCAATTTAATTTGATTGTAAATCAACTTCATTCTTCAACTCTGTTATTGCATTTGGCATTGGTTGTCTTGTTGTCTCCTAATTTTGCTTTTCTTACAAAAAAAAAGTTAAAATGTTGAAGCAAAATGGGCAAATATTCAAAATGATTTGCTGCTGAGACCATTCAATCTTCAGGCATGTATGCTCAATTTTGGAGCCGCTTTGGCAAAAATGAGAGAGCCCATTAATTCTAAACTTTACAAAAACTTTTCCTTTAAATTTTTTAAGTTAATAACCCCTTTTTGAAATTTTTGTATTTGATTTAAAACCATCTCAATGATTGCTATTTGAATGCTGCTACAAGGTTTTGGCTTAGAAAGTAGCATTAACCCTAACTTTATATTCCATTTCTATTTGTCTTTGTTTGTCACTATCTTAGTAATTTCCTACTTCAGCCAATAAGCTTTGACAGAGCCTTCATTTTTTTATTAGCAGGTATTTTCTGTTCTCTAGTTATAACACTTTTATGTTTTTGTTTTTTTGTAAGTTTTGTGTTTTAATTGAAGGCTGGGGATGGTATTGCTTTGATTTTGGACTTGAATTAGAGCAAATTCATAGTTCATTAGGAAAATCATTGTGCTTTCTCAAGTAAATTATTCCTTTTTTCTTCTGTTTTAGGGGTTTTGTATTCATTGTAACAAAATGAACTAGAAACAAAATATTTGAAGATTTGGGATTTCACTGATTATGTAATTTGTATCATATGTTGTTCAATTTTAAGATTTTACTTGGGTGGGAGTGTTCTTTATTGAATATTTTGAAATTTGTAGAAGAATTTCAAGAGGAATGAGAATAATTTTATATGGTCAAAAGTTCAAAAAAAAATAAAATAAATAATATTAACAAAACTTTTTGAATATGTATTTCTTCTTTTAATTATGACATTCTTTGAAGAAATGTATAGTTGCGTTTTGAATATTGAAATTTTCTGTGGTAGTCTTAGCCTATGAGAAATTTTTCAACCAACTTTAGAACCTTGAAAATGCTTAACCCAAGTAATGATGATGAGGTGGAATTGCATGGCGGTCATGGACAGGTACCCTTCCCTTCTTCTATCTCTTCTTCTGTCTTACTTTTGAAGGTTTTATCTGAAGGTGTGATGGATATTAGGCGAATCAAATAGATAATCTTCTACTTAACTAAAAAAGTTTTATACATGTTATGATGTAAAATAAGCACTTTGTACTTTTGTAGCTCAAATAAATTTAGAATGATAGGCTCATCAGACTTGTAAATACATCATAAATTTAACTATTAAATGCACACCTGAGAGAATTGTAGTATAGCTAGCTGCCAACATTCTACATCTCAAATTTCCTTTTGCTGGGGTTCTCGTTGAAGTTTTAATAGATAGCCTTTATCTGAATCAGTTAATTTCAAGGTTCAAGTGTGTAAAATCTTGTGTAATTTAACAAGGCAATAGAGAGTTTGGTTGTGAACTTACTTGCTTCTTATTTCTGATTGACAGTCTAATATTCAGGCACTTGTCAAGTAAGAATGTTTCCTTATGAAAATGTCTTAGTTCGAGCCCGTCATAAATGTTTCAGGACCTAAGACAAATTATAGAAATGTCTAGATAATAAGTTGACACAAAGTGGAAGGTTTCTTCTTGTGTTTAGATTTGACTATGAAGGTTGCCTTTTATCAACCAGACAAATATAAAACTAAGAATTCATCTTATGCATACAAAATTGAGAAAAAGAGTCATTTAGTGGACAGGAAAGAAGCCTTTGGCTATAATCCATCAGCTTTGGGTCATATGTGGAGTCCCACGACTAGGAATGATCACAAGTTGACTGGGATTTTAAATTATGTTATGTCTATAAACAATTTTTAAGTAACTCTCCTGAAACTTCGGGTTTGATGTAATCCTAATTTCAATATCCTTGTTATATAATTGAAATTGATTTTGCTCTTTAACATTTTCACAATCTGTTGCTTTTAAAATTAGATTGTTTGTATGCACTTATTTTATTAATTGTTTGGATATTCTTGCAGGGGATAGCTCAGTTTGGAAACCAAAATGCTGGTTTTCAACCTACTCAAAATGGTGATAATGAGAAGGTGAACCCAGATGCAGAAATCTTAGCTCTTTCACATACTAAATGAAAAAAGTTGGAGTCAAAAGTTAAGGAGGATTGCACAAAAAATAAACTAAAAAAATGGAAGAGGCAGGATATTATGTACCCATTGTAAGGAGATGTTAGTATATTCAGACAATAGTAAAGCCACAATCCTCAAAAATCATTTATTAAATTTGAAGTTTAAAATTAAATCAAATTTTGAAGTTGGAAAAAATTAAGAAGTGATTGGCCATTAGAGCCACGGAGCAGCCACACAAGAAGCACGGGGAACCGCCAAGCCGGTTCATCGGCAAGGAAGAAGAAGGGGAAGTCTGATAAAAATCAGCAAAACCCTAAGGTTTTAAGTTGTTTTTGGTTATTATTGATGGTTGGTGTTATTGATGTTATTGTTTTCTAGCTGTTTTGATTGTTTTGTCTTGCTATTTTTTGTTGTAGGTGTTTGCTTTTACTCCATCTGTGCAAGCGAAGAGATTGCAGTCGCAGGCTGTTGAGAAAGAGCAATGGAGGCTTCACATTCCAACTATAGACCGTTCTTATGGTGAACCACCGCCATATGTTGTGGTAGTCCAGGATCGCACCAGGATTGTTTACATACTGATTCTTTTGTAGGATTAATTGAAATGTTTCAAATTTTTTTTTTTTTTTTTTTTTTTCGAACTTTGAATGTTGATTGTTTATTTGGGTGGTGGCAGGTTGGAAAGTCTTCGGTTATCAAGTCGCTTATAAAGCATTATACAAAGCATAATGTTCCTGAGGTCTGAGGACCGATTACTATTGTATCAGGTTCTGGTTGCTCTGACCTAATGAATATTAAATTAAAAAAGTTATTGGAGTTTATGTTTTCTTTATTTTCTTTAACTCTGATGCGGAATTGATGAAATATGTTCGGTAAGCAAAGGTGGCTAATGACGGTATGATTGATTGTGCAAAGGTTGCTGACTTGGCACTGCTTCTCATAGATGGAAGTTACGGGTTTGAAATGGTGAGATTATTGCTGTTTAGTTTTCACTGTTGATTACTGCATGATGTTCTTTGGGGAACCTTACTTTCTGCTTATGTGAGCTGAGGGATTGATACTTGTTGGATTGCGCGCTTTTGGGAATTGATAAAGATATCTGCTCCAGAAAAAAGACAAGCAAGAAAAAAAATGAATTTAAGTTTTAAACAAATTTTATTTAAGATTTTATAAGAATTATTATTGATTGATTATATGTTTTCTTTATTTTGAGTTGTATATAAAGAAGAATTGGTTAAGATTTATTTGAGTAAAATAGAATAATGAATTAAATTTAAGGAGTCCTATTAGGATTTGAAATATGAATCCTAGTTAAAAATAAACCTATTCTACCTATAAATGGAGGGATTACAATCAATTCAAGGTTATGAGAGAGAAAATAAGAGAAATAGAGAATGTGAGGACATAAGGGTTTTGACTAAGGGTATCAGGGGTATCGTGTTTAAATTATAGGAGATCCTTCTCATCGTGGATGTAGGCAGTTATGCCGAATCATGTAAAATTGATGTGTCTTTGTGTGGATTGTTGTTGTTCTTATTTTAGTTTTTACTCCTTCGATTTTTAACATGGTATCAGAGCAGATTTTGATTTTTAATGTGGTATCATAGCTATATTCTTAAGGGATCTGAGTAAAAAGAGAAGACTCCACAAGAAGATTTGAGGTAGAGAACAAATTAAGTATGAGACGTGCTGGTTGTGTGAAGCTGATAGAACCCATTCCAACAATTCATAATTGGGCAAGGTAATAGGTCTTTCATGAGTTTGGGTAGAACTCTCCTTAGAAAACCAGCTGTCAAGGGAAGATGCCCAAGCCCTTATAACTCATATGCCTCCCCTTTCCCTTCCAATATGGGATCCTAACATTCTACCACTCTTCCACAACCGATATCCACGTTGACCTCTTTACCCTTTGCGTACCTATGCGGATCCCCTTTCCCTTGGGTCTCCATGCCCTTTCTTGGGGTAATAGCCTGGTCCAAGGTCAACCTAGCACGTGTGTATTGCCACTAGACATAGGATCATGCTTGTACCAATGATGGGATCCCACTCCAACAACTGACCAAGGGCTAGGCAATGAGTTTTTTCACGAGCTTGAGTAAAACTCTTCTTAGAAAATTGGCTTACAAGGGGGTGTTAGGGGTTTTTTTAACTTTTAGAAAGTTTTAAAGTTTCAATTATTTATTTTTACTTTTCGTAATTTCTGATTTTTTTTTATTATTCAGTTTTTTTCATTTTTCCAGATCTTTTTATTAGATTTATTTTATTTTTATTTAATAGTTTCTTCTTTTTAATTTTCACCAAAAAAATTGTAATACTTTACATTTAACTTTTTTTTTTTTAATGTAATATGTGAGGAGAAAGGGTTGAGTTGGGGTTGATGGGCGCTGTTGGAGAAAACTACAAAGTCAAAGCGGATCGGTGAGTAGGTGGGCGGGTTGGAGTTAGGGTGTTGGGCATTGTTTAAAACTCGGACCGGAGGGCAAACCATTTTGCTGTCCGGGTCACGGTTCAATCGGTCCAACCGGTTGGACGGTCGTTGCCGGTTTTAAAACAGAGGTGTTGGGGGCTTGGAGATAAAGTAAAAGTAGAGGGCGCGTTGGATTATGGTCATCGATGAGGATATTAAGGTCATTTACCTTCATTTGATTCAAACTAACAGAAAAACACTGACGGCAGTAGTTAAGTGTAATTACTAATACTTGTGTGAAGTTCTGGGGATCTTTTAGTGTTTAATAAATTATATTTAGCTCCATCAATGGTCGAAACCATTTAAACTACCTACCTACCAGTGGGAACTGGGAAGAGCAATGTTTGGGTGAAAACTATACTTCAGCAACCTTTAGTTCTTGCAGGCGAAAAAGCAGTTAGCCTGGATAAGACTGAAGTCACTGAATAGCAATTTTTGAGATTAATGGTTACTACTATGGAAAACAAAAAATAAACAAGAAAATATAACTTATTTATATTAATAACTCAATTAGTTATTTGAGGGTTGTCCAACCATTTTTGTGCATACCAAAGTTTTTCAAATCAACACCAGGCCATCACCATGAAAAATATTATACAGTCAGAACTCAAATAAGAATTTGAAGTAAAACCAGGAGTAGAAAGAGGAATCGCCAAGAACACTGCATTCGTGCAAGTGCTGGATATTTTGCACAGGGTGCGCCACAAGTAATATATCAAACTCTTAACTGAAGGAATTTTAGGTTCATCAAACTCTCAACTCTACTCAGTTCTCTGTTATAGAGCTCCGCGTAAAGGTAATTTCATTAGTGACAGGACCCGTTTGCTTCTATTGAATTGTCTCAATGAAAAAAGCAGAGTTGGAAAGAAATATATGCTATGCAATAAAACTACTGTCTCTCTGCTTCGTATTTTGGAGTCAAAATGTGCTGTGGGTTATTAATTTGGAGTCAGAATATGTACCACTATTCACCCTGTCAGATTATTGAGATTCAAAAGAGGCATGCGAAGCACTTAAAAGTTCACAAAGAATTGATCTGTATTATAGCTTTGGTGTACAGGAAACTTGAAATTATGCGAAAAATATAGGAAAACCAGAAATACTTACTTTCAGAGCTATATGAAACAAGTTCAATCTCTGTGAATTTGAATCCTTTGTGCTTTCTAAGTCTATTAATCTCAAGATAAATCCCAACACAAAATTGACTTGGGATTCATTAATATCGCAGCACATAGACTTTTGTTTCAAAGATTAATACAAAACATGGAGAACTTTGCATTTACACAAGTTAATTTCTAGGATCAAAGAAGTGATATTCCTCTTCTTAATTCAAGATTCAATAAAAAATGTAGATAGAGAGAGACCCACCAGATCATGATTTGGAAGTGTTTCAACTTGATCATCATAACTTGTTTGGAAATAAATTTCTGATGTTCCTGGCCGATTGAAGGGTTCACTTCCACCAGGCCAAGACATCATCAAAGCAAAGTATATTCAAAAAGAGCTGGTATGAAAAAGTAGCACTAGTTAAAATACTTACTGATTATGCACTTAGATTGACATGGATCCTGAAAATGAGCTTAGAATTTTGCAGATGAGGTGAACAAAGTCAAGAAAGAATAAGTGCCAAATTTTTCTGTTCAACTTGGCTTAAATAACGGCCGGAGTTTCAATTTTCAATTGGTTCTCGCCGTTGACTGAAGGAGCCAAGAATTATTGACCTTAAATTTTAATTTGAAAATTAGGTAAAACAGCCGAAAACTATATTAATATATTTTCTACCTTAATTCAATTTGGTTTCAAAAATAAATTAAAATTAAAAACCACAAACTAAAAAGAAGAAAAAAACCAACAAAATTAACAAATAGGAATAGAAAATGTACTAATTGTGGATGATGGCTTGAACGTTACCGTATTGACACTTAAGTGAACGACGTCGTTTTGCTCCAACTGCCAGAATCAATCCTGAGCGTTGATGAAAAAGGGAGATCCAACGGTGTCATATACCCTAATGTTCCCATATAAAAGCAGAATTTTGGCATGTTTATGCAAGGAGATTAGGCTTCGTTTTGACGTATACTCTTTCTCTCTCGGTTAAACACCATTGTTAAACCTTTAGGGTCTACAGTTTGGGTTGAGTGTTTCTGTAACTTGGTGTTGAGTGACTGGTTAGGTCATTGCGGTGTATTGTATACACTGCTCTTAGGGATTCGAAGGGTGTATCTCTAGGGTGGTTACGGGTTGAAGGAGGGTTTCTAGAGTGACTTGTGTTGCTTATTGTGTAATCTGTAAACTTGACAGTTTAGTGCAGCGAGCTCGTGTGATTCTCGAGTTCAACGTGGACGTAGCTGCTACTCAATCTAGGCAAGAGACACCGACTAAATCTGTTTGTGCTGTGTGCTGATTCTTGATCTTGATTTGTGCTTGTGTTGGTTGATTCTTCTTAAGGGTTATAACAGTGGTATCAGAGCCATCTTTTGGAAGATTAGGGTTTCGTGTTGTGAAATAGGGTTTCGCGAAATTAGGGTTTCGTGAAATTAGGGTTTCAAAATTAGGGCTTCTGAAATTTGGGGTTATTTCTCGAATCTGGCAAAGTATATAGGCTGGAAACCAGTAACAGCCTTAAAAAATGCTTGGCAGCAATTGGCGAATTCTGGTGTAACAAAGCCACATACCTTCAAAGATTTTCTTTTTGTTGTTGATTTACTTTCTTTTTTCTTATAACTGTGCAAAGGTATATAGGCTGGAAACCAGTAACAGCCTCAAAAACTGCTTGGCAGCAATTGGCGAATTCGTGTGTAACAACGCCACGTACCTTCAAGATTCCTTGTTGTTTTTTTTCTTTCCTGATTTTTTCATTATAGTGTGAATGAGTACACTCGTATGGAGATCTCCCAATATGATGGGAAGTCGATTTGGGAGTTGGAAGAAAAAGATGAAAGCACTGCTGCTCCACACAAGGTTGCCATTGCACTGGAAGAGGACCCCGAGAAAGGCCAGGGAGAAGTTGAAAAAGAAAGAGGAGATCAATGAGGAGGCATACAATCTGATAATCATGAACCTGTCGACAGCGTCCTCCGGAAGGTAGATGGAATTGAATCACGATTGAACTCTGGGGTAAACTCACTACTTGTATGCTTTGCAATCTGCCCCCAACCTAGCTTTTCTAAAGGGGCTCTATTCTCTATTAAAATGGATAGTGCTAAGAGTATAGAGGAAAACTTAGATGATTTTCTGAAATGACTTGGTTCTAAAAGGGACAGATCAAGCCTTAGGAGAAACTAGCTAGCTAT